TCCTCGCTGACATTCATTCCTCTTTCCAATCGATATAGGATCTCATAATTCACTCCCTTCAGGGTCCAATGTCCTTACTGACACCCCACCCAATGTCTGGATCTGATACCATTTGTAGCAGCACAAGCCCACCGCTAGCAAATATTGTTCTTTTTTAGCTTTTCCTTTCCGGCTTCCCCTCAAGGTTTTTAAAACACTTATGCTAGGGAGAGGTGTCCACACCCTTATAAATAATGTTTTGTTCCCCTCTTCAACCGATGTGGAATCTCACAATCCACCTCTCCTTGGGGCCTAGCGTTCTCACTGACACTCATTCCTTTCTTCAATTGATGTGGGATCTCACAATCCACCCCTTTCAGGGTCCGGCATCCTTGCTAGTAGCTCTAATACCATTTGTAACAACCCAAGTTCACCACTAACAAATACTGTCCTCTTTGAACTTTTCCTTCCGAGCTTCCCTTCAAGTTTTTAAAACGCGTTTGTCAGATAGAGATTTCCACACTCTTATAAAAAAAATGTTTCATTCCCTTCACATGTGGGATCTCACAGAATCACCTCTCGAATGATTAGCAGAGAATCCCATTATCTAACCCCACTTTACAAAACAACACAAAACCCTCCACAAACTACAAAACTGTGTTATTCAACCTCACTAAACAAGAAAATGGCAGGTCTGTGAGCTTGAGAACACAAGAGCAAGAAAGGGAAATCTCGTTAGATTGGAAACAAAAGCATATGATGACAACGGCTATTCACAACAAAGGTAAGCACAGTTCATACCCATTACTCATCATTCATACTCACCCTTACTTCAAACTATCAACCATTTCAATCTCCAGATACCCAAGAATTCTAATCAAAGGCCCATATGGAGCTCCAGCACAAGATTACAAAAAATACGACATCCTCTTACTTATTGGCCTTGGCATTGGCGCAACTCCAATGATCAGCATTATAAAAGATGTTCTAAATTCCATGAAGCCAAATCACAACTACGATGTGAGTTTAACAACACCATAAGCCTTCAAAACCACTTATCATACCAATAAAACATTAAACATAGAGCCCAAATCATTCATGTTTTGTAGGAATCCGTACACGAACTCTCTGTAGGCAGCGGTAGGTGCGGGCCTGAAAGAACATATTTCTATTGGATAACGAGGGAACAAGGCTCATTCGAGTGGTTCAAAGGCGTTATGGATGATATCTCTGAGTATGATCGTAATGTGAGCTGGAAAGCTTTGTAGTTCTTGATTCATTATTAAGTTCATATAATTTGTTGAACTGAATGAGATTGTTTGATGGGATTTTGCAGCAAGTAATAGAAATGCATAATTACTTGACAAGTGTTTATGAGGAAGGAGATGTGAGGTCTGCCCTTATAACCATGGTGCAAAAGCTTCAACGTGCTAGGAATGGAGTTGATGTTCTCTCCGAAAGTCGGGTATTACTATCTTCGTCCCCTAAAGCTATTCTTTTGAAAGTCGGGTTGATGTTCTTTCGAAAGTTTTATTGATATTTTGAAATAAAGTATTAACCGTTCTTCTTTGATTCAAAGAAAATTTAAGAATATTTTTTAAATAAAGTACCAAATTCATAGATATTTTTATCAATTTAGTTTTATAAATTAAATATTTGATGTGACATGAATAGATAAGGACGCATTTTGCACGACCAAACTGGAGGAAGGTGTTCATGGAGATGGCAAGTAATCACATGGCTTCGCGTATAGGTAAGAATCTATAGTTTCTAAAGTTTTAAAACGTTTCGATCTAAAAATGATTTAATAGCGTCGTAGTCGGGATTTACAGGTGTGTTTTATTGTGGAAGTGCTACACTAACCCAAACGTTGAGGCAACTATGCCAGGAATTTAGTTTAAGTTCGACGACTCGGTTTCACTTTCACAAGGAGAACTTCTAGAGCTATTGATTGAATACATCATATGAGTAGAAGAAAGATTAGGATTCACTTCTGAATTTTCTTTGTTATTCATATGTTGTGTATATAAAAAGAAACAGAAAATACAAACACTTTTGAGTTAGCTCATATTCAAGGGAGGGATTCAATGGCCTACTTCATCATCTTTGTTGTGGCTGTCTTCCATTTCTTGTCTCCATTTTTCAATGGCAAATTTAATTGGTTGGATACAATTTTGTTTTTTAATTTTCAAATTTCAAATTAGTTTTGAGAAATAACGTGTAACCACTCATACCCATAATTCGGATCAAGATTTAGAATCTAAATTCGGCACCTGATGAGCTTGACATTCTCTTATGACATGGTCATGTGACTTATTCTTGCTTCTAAGAGTGAAAACTATCCCACATACCAATATGAAACCTTCTAAGTTCATATATTCAATATTGTCTGGTTTAGATGTGTTATTGGTTTATTCATATACCTTTTAGTTATGTTATATAATGAATCAACATAAAAATCACATTCCACGAGATGGGTTATAAGATATGATATGCATTTTACTCTGAAAAAGTCAATAAAATGACAAATCATAATAGATTTTATTGCTAAATTGACCTTATTAAAGGTAAAGGTTGACCTCTAGATACGGAGGCCAGCCACGAGAAGGTCGAGACTATTAATCACCCATGCGAGATCAACAGGAATTTGTTTATTGTTAAAATTTTCGAAATGGATTTAGTTTTTATAAATATTAAAAATATATTCATATGGTGTTTTTTTGTTGCATGGAAAACATTATTATTATTTATTTATTTTTGATAAAAAAAAATTAGGATCCACTAATTTTCAAATTTTAAATTAAATATTTAAAGTCAAACTAAAATGAAATGTTATTTTATGCTTTTTTTTTTTAATGATTTATTTATTTATTATTATTATTATTATTATTTTTTTTTTTTTTTTATTTACCCAAATGGAATTGTTCTGTCAATATTCGGGTGAAGACCCTTTCCAAGTAGCCCTATCGTCCCGCCTCCGATAATCAGTCCCAAAAATTTCCTCTATCCGGCGAAATTTAGTCGCGAAGCATATGTTACCATGATTTCCATTCTTGCTCAGGTAACCAAGCATCCATGCTCCGATGGATCTCCAGAGCTGATTCGATTTCCTTGCCATTTATTGGGTGCAATTTGATCTCATTTTCTTCTCCTTTTTGGTGGAAATCTGGATCCAATTGCAGGAGCGACTTCTTGGTGCTGCACTGGGCAGCGTATTCGTCGGGGTTGTTGTTTTTGAGCAGCGGAAAAGCATATACACATCCATTTCGGAAAATTATCCGCCAGCCACCCAATCTCCGGTATGTTTAAAATTTCCCTTTCTGTTACCATTAACTTTTTATGGCTTGTGTTTGACCATTGGGAAAATGTAATGAAATTATCAAATGTTTATCTGTGAATATTTGAATGATTGGGAATAAGGGGAGAGCGTAATGAAATTATCAAAATTTTCAATAATGTCATTCAGGTTAAATAATTTGTAAGTAGTTTTCTTTTTTTTTTTTCTTTTTTTTTTCTTTTTTTTTACATTTTTGACATTGATCTTAATCTAAACATGGCTTGATGTGTATAATTTTTATGCTTTTCTTTATATCAATTAATTTATGGTAAGTTATATTTCTTTTAATATGAAACTGAAATATACATTATTTGAATACTGTAAAATCAATTTTTCTACACACGAGTTTAATTCATCATAGAAAAATATAAAGTTCTGTATAAGTATGTGTTCTTTACTTCATTTGTGAAGGATTAGATTATAAAAGGCCAATGGAGGACCATGGGTATCAAGAAAATTCGTTAATTGCTGTCATTTTAGATGCCTAGGCATGCTGCACTTTGATGGTAGAAATCTGAGTGGCTACTCCTTGGACATTTTTGATAACTCGCTTCTCAACAATCTTTTGTTAATTCAAAGCAGAAGGTTTTTTTTTTTTCTTTTAACAAGAAACGTCTCAGAATAAGTAACTGTATGGCACCTGGATATTTTCCAGCAGGGAGTGGTGAGTATTGAGTAATGTGGACTGTCAGGGTTTGTGTATTTGGAAGGAATTATTGATATTATTATTTAATCTAAACTTTGTTCTTGGCCCACAAGTTCTCTTATCAACAATTTAGAATTCCCTAATGCAAGTTCTACCATCTCTGAATTTATACTTCCATCTAGCAGCTAACCCATTAATCTAATAGCATCCTCTTTGAAACGACTTTAGATGAAAAAAGCTGTATTAGCAAAGAAATATGGCCCAGAGATTTCGCACCTATGGAATAGAGCTGTAGACCAGACATTTGGACCTGTGATTCAGGCTCTCAGTTCACGGGGATGGTGATATGTGGAGAATGTTTTCTTGATCAATGTACTTGCATGAATCATGTAAGAAAACAGAATTTTAAATTTTGTATTTTTAACAATCTGGTTTATCAAACAATTGATGTTATGACTGTTGAACAAAGCTATGAGTATAAAGGCCTTTAAAACAATAAAGCTGAGTATGAATGAGAACAAAGCTATGAGTATTTTTAACATTCTGAATTATCAAACAATTGTATTTTCTACTATACATCCTCTTGCGTAAATATTTGTCTGTCATCATTTGAGACTGTTTATGCGGCTAAATTGATGTAATTCTTATGCAATTGAAACAACGGAATTCAACTGGTCGTTCTAACATTGAGTTAGCACTGAGGTTGAGCCATGTTGTGTTACTGATCATATTGTTCCAGTTGCTTATTGGCTCCTAGTGCTTGGTTTTGCTTCTATTCATCTAGTTTTTTGATGGACTCAACGAGGAAAGGCTATTGGTCACATGTTTCCATTATTTCTCTACTTCAGCAGCTATCACCTGATATGGTTGTTTGTTGAACGATCTGAATTTTGGGGTTGCGCACTTCACAGGAAGACCCTAATGTTACCATAGTTTTTATTGGCATTGATATGGCAATGTATGCATGACTTTTATCATTTGTATTTGTACACTTTTGTTCTATCGTGCAACCATGAACCATCTGCTTGGTATGTGTTCTTGAAGTAAATCTTGGTTCCTAAAACCTTTTGTTGGAAAGTTTCTACCATTTCTACGTTCAGTTCCATTTTTGGTTGGCCAAAGTTTCCAAATTCATTATATTGAGTTTTAGAACTTTTTAAGACTTTCCTTGTTGCAGACATTTAGTGCGGCAATGGTCAATAATTCTATTACTTTTTCTTCATTTGATTTTTCTTTTGGCATAATTTCTGGAAGGCCCCATTGCTAGTTGTGATTTTTTTTTTTCTTGGATTCATTCATGAACGCGCCTTATTAGTGTAGGATTAGAGCCAGAAACTCCGAAGGAGCAAAAAATTTACACATGGGGGGAGAGGAGGGATGAAGAAAATTTTAGAAAACACAATTTAGACGATAGATATAGAACAGCCTCCTGTATATATAACAGAATAATAAATATGTATAGCCATAGCCGCTATCAATCTTGGAGAAATAAACAAGAAAGGAGTAATAAACTAAACCAAGGAAGAGAAGTGCCCAAGTGTTTGTTAGGCTCATAAACATGTTGGATTTGAGCATGTCAAGCACCAGGTTTTGCAGACATGGCTCGGTTTGCGTTGGCTAGGCGGGTACGTAGTACATAGTACACCCCCATCGCCAAAAACACAGCAAATGTGATGCCAAACACAATTCCCAGAATCCCACCAACCCCTTCACCTTTCTGAGTTGTTGTGGAGTATTTGCTTTCTTGTGCAGGATTAGATTGCAGTTGAGCTGCAAGGGGCAAAGGGGAGCATTTGGATGCACCACATGGGTCTTCGGCATTGGGGCTCCGGGTTCTTGGATGGAAGAAATCATATGCCATTGGAGAGAACGCCACCGGGTTCTCATATGCCAGGCCATGAGGGGCTCTGCCTTCAGCGTGGACGGCGGAAAGAAATGTGAATGAAGAGAGATAGAACAGGAAAGTAAGCGTTTTCGCCATGTTTGTGGAGTTTTGTCGACCCAGTGCCTTGAAGTAGAAGCAGAAGCAGAAGCAGAGGCAAGACGTGATTATACTTCCTTAACCTCTTGTGGTGCTTTTGAAATACATTTATAGTGTCTCGAGGAGTGGTTGTTGCTTGGACTTAAATTTTTGAGATGAAGAAAGGGAGGGGAAAAACATAATGGCACTCTCTTTCTAACGCATATACAATTATGTCCTAGGCTATACTTAGAGTCCTGGCCAATTGAACACATAAGAAGTGGGGCAGGGGATTAATAAGATAATGTGTTCAATCATACATATTTTGTTTTGATTACAAGTTAATCAATCTCATTAAAGGATTGCGTAGCTTGAATCTTCATTTCCACTTTCATGCTTTTCTTATCATCTCATTTACTTTCCTTACTATCTTCTCAACGATTAGAATCTCTCTCTCGCTCTGTCTCATTCTAATAGTTCATTCATTATTTGCACGAGATATCCCCTGCTCGAGAGTTGGCATCTTGTTTGGGGCTTTCACGAGCACATCCATTTATTAAATGTCATGTTCCTTCTTGTCACCACCAAGTTCACAAGGCTTACCTTGGAACAAAATTCCCATTTTTAAATGTCACCAGTAACTGTGGGAAGGAGTTGGGCTTTGAAGCCCATAACCAACCTTCTGCTGTGTAGCGCGAGATCCCATGTCGATGGGAGAGTAGAACGAAACATTTTTTTAAAAGGGGTGGAACCTCTTTCTAGCAGATATGTTTTAAAAATCCAGGAAGCTCAAAAAAGAAAGTCCAAAGAGGAAAATATTTGCTAGCAATGGGCTTGGACGATTACAAATAGTATTAGAGCCTAACATCGAGCAATGAGTCAGCGAGGAGGCTGAGCTCGAAGGTGGTAGACACGAGGCGATATGTCAGCAAGGATGCTGGACCATGAAAGGGGTGGATTGGGGGGTCTCACATTGATTGGAGAAGGGAACGAGTAATAGCGTTGAGCCCTGAATAGAGGTGGATTTGGGTAATTTGGGCCATTAGAATTTTCAGTAAAGATAAAATTTTGGAAAAAGAGATTTTAAAATAAATCTTTAATTTCAATTTGGAGGTTAACTTTTGGAGATAATTTTTATAATTTTATCTGCTAATTCAAAAGGAAACCATAACCTTTTTCATTTAGAATTTCCTAAATCTTAGGAGTTTAAATTGTGACTCTTAGGAATGGTAGGATGTCAATTAAAAGGACAGCTTTTGTCACTTTCGGGTTCATTAACACTTTCGACTTCGAGTTTAGCTTCACCACATCAACCAATCGTCTTCTTTGCCCAGCTACTTTATAAATCTCTTCGTTCACAATTTCACGTGCTCGTTGCCATTTACTTCTTTATCCTTTGTCACTGTTTTCTTTTCTCATCGTTTGACCATCGTGCCTCAACCTTTGTAAGATTTGGCTAATGGTATGCTAAATGTCTCTTTCATTTTTTTTTTTTTTTTTTTTCATTTTGGTTGAGTAGATTTGACCTTTGAGATCACGTTTTAATCAATTGCGCCTTAGATGTGAACTTTGCAATGTCACTACGCTTCCATCGTTGTTCTTTGTAGGTCATCATGGCACGAATTGCTCACCTAGTGGTTATGACAGTGCGCAAGCGATTGAGAATGAGGAAGAACGAGCATCATCAAAGAAACGTGCATGAAACACAAGCAATACTAGGGTTAAGTGCAAGGCTTGTGTATAGAGATGTCCATAGAGCAAGGTGGGGATGAGAAAGTCTTCCCCATAGTCATCTCTGCCACCTATTTCATCTTCTGTTCTTGCAAAATTCTATTCTCTATTTATTTTAATGTTTTTTTTTTTTTCAGTTTACTATTTTTAAAAAAATTAATTATTTTAAAATTATCATTTATTAATATAATCTTAATTTAAAAATTGAAAAAAAAAATCCTAATAAATGAATAAACAAGGATATATATATATATATATATATATAATATTTTAGGGACATAAATTCTAAAAATTCAAAATTTAATATTACAATATAGTTTTTAACAATAAAAAAAACCTACAACATACTTTTTGGTTAAATATTACAATTAAAATCTTAAAACTAACTAATTAATTTTTTAAATATATTTATATTATTGTGACCGTGAATATAATCTCATCCCTAGCCCCATTTATGGAGGGGAAAAAAAAAACATTCCTCACCCTAACGGAGAATCTCCACCCTAGTCGAGGCGGATAAAATGGACATCTCTATTTGTGTACGCCGTTGCATTGAAGGTTAGACGAACCTAAAGAATTGTTTTATTAGAAGACTAGGAATTGTTTTGTTAGACCAGTATAGTCTGATTTGGTTAGACCAATTCAATTGGGTTCAACTAAGCAGAACCATCTATTAGAGAGGAGTTATCACATCTAGTTAAAAAATATGTTTATTCTCTTGCTTGCTTATATATAGTTTCTTTTAAAAATCTGCTCTTGTTTTCTAAAACCTTATCTTAAATCGAGGTCAGAAGCTCGAGCATCCGTCGTTTGGTCATAGGCGACGCAAAAACGAATTGGCTTAGCTCACTTGTCGTTGGAAAGTGAGTGTTGCACAATCGCAAGTTCAGTGCCATCAAGAGTGTGATTGTGACAAAACATGGAATCTCACATGTAACCTTTTGTTTACCGAAAAGATACTTTTTTATGCGAGGGGGAAGAGAAGGAAATGAGAAGTCTAATCTGAATTCAATTTCCAATACCAAAAACTTTAACATCTCATTTACAAATGAAACCAACTTTAATTTTTACAATACAATATAATATGAGTATCATTGTTACACCAATCTCTGTCTCTTTGTAGACCCAAAACTGGGATTAGAACCTGACACCAATGCACTGTGATTCAAACAACATGACTCTGAAGGAACACCTGAAAAATTCAACATAGAACTTGAACACATTCTAGGACTGTTCACCACAACACCCTGTCCTTTCATCAACACAGGAGGGATCTTGAACGGCTGCAACGGGGGCGGATTCCTCCACTGGGGTAGCGGCCCGGCCACGAGCAGCGTCTGAAGCAACGGCCCAGCCTCCATCACAGACTGCAGCAGTCTCCCCTTCTCTGGCAGTTTCTTCCCCTTCACAATGTTCTCAATCACCAACCCACATGGATCCACATTATACGAATCTCCAACGTTTAAGCTCGAGAAATCAGTCGACGAAACCGCGTCGAAGAACGAATCAACAACAGGCGAGCCGAGAGATTGAGATTGAGGATTGTTGTTGAATGTATCAGCTGAAAGGCTGTTGGATTCTGTGATGCTGGAATTTGCTTTACCTACAGGACTTTCAGCTTGAAAATGAGATGTTAACATCAATTCATTCAACACCTTTTGAAGCTGATTCTTTGCTTCATCTCTTTCTCTGTAAGCCATTTGAAGAAGATTCATCAGATTCTTTACACTCTCTTTGTTCTTCATCATCTCTTGATTTGCCTCCATTTTTGCTGATTCTAGCTCAATTGTTGCGCACAAAAGCTTCTGTTTTATCTCATCCAACCCCTATAAGCATAGCTCAATCGATTAAAACATTATAATCTCAACCAAATCAAAATATCGAAACAGGCAAAGATTCCCATCCAAGGTGAACAGAGTTTTTTGTTTGTTTTTTACAAGGGAGAATCAATTCAGCAGTGCAAAGCCAACTACAAGTTTCAAGACGAACATGGTCCAATCATTGCAGGATAGAATTATTTATTTGTAATGGTAAGTCCAAAAAAAGTATCTGATTTAACATATTCCAAAAACAAAACTGTTCTCTATCAGAAATTATGAACATCCTTGTTGGAAAATCACTGTTTCAGAACACCCAATTTCCAGAATCCTCTGTTTATTCATGGAATTGGGGTTTAAAAAACAGCAAATTACAGAAATCAATTGAGACCCAAATGCAAAAATCGCTTGTGTTTCAGTTTTTTCAACTCCCAACAAAAGAAACCCATGAAAGCCCAGAAGAAAGCATTTGAATAGCAACATATAGACAAGAACAGAGAGAAAACAAAGCCCAGAAACTATCCTCCATGGATGAATTTAACAAGAAATTAGCAAAGAAATGAAGTGGAAATGGCAAAGAGAGGAAGACCCAGAAGAGAAAATGGAAATCAGAGTGAGAGAGATTGACGAACCTCTTGATAAGTCCAGAGAGAATCAAAATCCTCCATTGATGAGAGCTTGGTGGAGAAAGGGTTAAAGGGAAATGGAAGGATTAGGGAGTTGAAAGAAGGGTGAATTCTCATCCATTTATAGAGAGACCAGATTTTATTCACTTTTTTTTAAAAAAGGTTTTGTTTTTGGACAAATACCCAATCCAATGAAGGTGCCGTCCTCATCAAACAAACAAAAATTAAGGGGTACATGCCAAAACAAAACAAATATAAAATTTTTAGATTCCATTTCCCACTCTCCCTTCACTACTTAAATTTTTTACCATTTATTCTCCAAAACATTTCTTTCTTTCATAAATCCAAATCCCGTGTGTAACGATCATGCCCAACATTTGGATTAGGATCGATATTCCTTGCATTCCCTTACGACATAGTCACGTTACCTATTTCTTACTTCATAAGAGTAAAGAGTATCTATACCAACCAAAACTTTATTGATATAAGTAGTGACTTTCAATTAGATTTTATCATTTCAAATGACAGTGAAGTTACTAAAAAGTCCCTTAAAAGACTCAAAACCGACAGTAGCTAGTATAGGGTTAGGGGGAATAAAAAAAAAGGGTGAGGGGGTGAGGGGGTGATTGCAAATGATAAGCATTTGCTTTGGTTCATTGGACACCTAATTCCAATTCTACAATTTTCAACGCCCTTTCATGATTTATATAAATTATTTTTTTAAAAAAAATGAATAAAACTTAATTGTTATTATTATTTTTGGAATTCTATGCTCTTTCATGATTATTTAAAATTATTTTTGTAAATTTTGTTATTGAAAATTGTTTTTTACTATTAAAATGTTTGTGCTTTTAACTATTTTTAAATGTTTATAGTTTATAAAACTCAACTAAATAGAAAAAAAATATATATATTTTTCATAAGATTTTTGGATTAATTTTTTTTAAAATAATCCTGAATTGTGACGGGAAATTTGAATTCGTTTTCTAATCTTACTTGTCTTAACGTTAGTCCCTAAGGAACACGTTTGGAATAAATTTTGAATTGTCATCAAAATAGGTTCGGTGTTGGAGAAATTTTTTGAACTTAGTTGGAGGCCAGTCACAACTCAATTTGGTTAAAGAAATTAAATCCAATTTTTAAAAAAAATATTTGAAAGAAAATAAAAAAAAGTAAAAGTGTTTAAATTTGAAAGGAGGAAGAGGGGCAGCCCTAGATTGCTATGCTATACTATTGTGAACTGCCC